TCATAGATGAGTTAATTTTAACCGTTCATTGACCTACTACATTCATAAGAGTGTCATGTGAATATAGTGGATTTTTTTTACTAAGGCACTGTGAATAAGTGGATAAATGTGTGGGTAAGGATGTCATGTGGTTAGTTGTTCAAGAATCTTTTATCCAATATTCTTTAAAGGATATATCTGAGGTATTTAAGTCCAAACAAAAATAAAAATTTACCAAAAAATAAAATTAAAACTAGAATCATACCTTGTTGGTTTCTCAAACCTATTAACGAGAAATCTCACCATTGCCACTTCACTTAGGTTAAGTTGCACCTCTACTTCTAGATTGTTTCCACTAGTATTTTCATCCATCTATGCATGTCCTCCCCTTCTTTATAATTCTTCCTTTTGTCCCATTCTCTATTAGGAAGTTTTCCATTAAATTTTGAATATTTTTCTTGAGTATGACTATGCTTTATGCAATAATTATAACACATTCCTATTTTCCTCACTCCTCACAGTAACCACTACTTCATTTTTCTCGAGTGTGATTTACTGTCGTTTGATACAATTTTGAAAGTTGACATTGAGAAAATAATTGAAAGTTGGCAATCACAAATAATCAACATTGAGATTATGGATTTATTGTCGATTTTGAAAGTTGGTTCAAAATTCATGTTCATTCGACTATCCTTAATATAGGTTCATGTTCTTCTTAAATTTACTTTGATTCATCATCCTTCTAAATAGAGGCCTGGTAGGATGATTATTATCTTAGATTTACTTACTCTTAGCCTTCTTAAATCTACTTTGGTTCATCATGCCTCCAAACAGAAACTGGTAGGATGATCGTTATCTTAGATTTTCTCTGATTCAATTATTAATCCCAAAAAAAATTATTTATAAAAATCTTGTTCAAATGTAAAAGTTTTAAAATTATGTTAGTTTGCGAAAACTGGTATATCTTTAAATATGTAAATAAAATATTACTTAAAAGAATATAAAATTAATAAGTGAATCATGTAGTCTGTTGAATCTCAATCTAATACACTTCTAAATCATCTATTTTGATCTCATTCTCACTATAAACACATAGAAAAAAATATAAAGTGAACATGAAAAAAGATTGATGGATTATGTACTCTCTTAAAATCTCAATTCAATACACTCCAAAGTTTTATATTTTGATCTTGTGTTCTTTTTATTCTTATATAAAAAATACATTATCACAATAAACATACACAAATAAAAATTTGAATTTTTTCTACAATAACCATGTTTTTCAATTTAAATTCCTAAATAACTATATTTTTCACTAAATTATGCAGATAATCAGGTTTTAAAATTGATTTTAGTGTTGGTGTCACCCCACGTGACGCCTATATTGTTTTTTTATGTGTACACACTATGACCCATGTGCCTAAGTGCATTTGAAAAGCAAGGTGCCACCCACGTGGTCACATCTTATGTGTTATGGTCTTTTCTATAAATTAAACTTTCATCCTTCACAATTTTTCACACATCTTCTCACATTCTCTATAATTACTTCTTCATAGCATGTGACATGATTTTCAAAAAGGATGGATATGTTTATTTCTCTCCTATCAAACCCTCGATTAAAATGAAGTTTTGGAATATCTATTTCATGGAACGTCTTAAGAGAGAGTTGAGCCGATGGTTAGAAGAGACATCCAAGATGGCAAAGCCATTAAAAGAATTTAGAGACAAAGAACGGTAACCTCACTTGTGACCGAAAAACCTCAACGTTGGTGGGAGAATGTCAAAAATGACAGAGACGTAATGGTGATGATGCATGAATCAGATGAAATTATTTTGACAGTTGTAATTTCTTAGATATTTTAGCGTGTTAACTAATTGTAATCATTGTATGCATTTGATTTGTTGTAACCAACATGCTTAGTGTTGTTTGCATTTGTGTAGTTGTAACAAATATGTTTAAGGAATAAATAAAATTCAGTTTATTTCTAAAAATATATTACCATGAGTGCATACAATTATTAGGTTGCAAAGGTAGTTTCATGATTGGGACAATTATTTCGAATGTGTTCGACCTGGCGACATATACTACACCTCTTTTCCATGTTGTTGGGGTGACTCTTCTTCTCTCTTCACATTTTGTCGTTGTGTCAAACTACGTCCCCTTCATACGCATGTCATTAATCCTCTTTTGTTATCACTTTAAAAGCATTATTGCATTTACTGAGCAAGATTCTGGCCTTGTAAATGGGAGATAGTAGTGTTAAGGCATCTCGATGAGCATACGAACATGTCGCAATGACATGGGAGCAAGGCATGCAAAAGGCTTGAAATTTTCCGCAGTCGCACCAACCATCTGGTAGTATGACCCGATACTCTTGTCTTGGAGATAATATACGGGTCTGCAACATGAACCTAGCCCCAAAGACGAAGCAGTTTGGATTGCGAAAACGGTTATCTTTCGATACAACATTGTGGAGATGCACCACAATGACTATGTCAAATTGTAGTTTGGCATGCATCAAGAAATCCCAGATCCCCCTACGTGTTTGGGACAATGACATCTCCATAGAGTCAACCATCAATGGAATGTTAGATGTTGGAAAGAGTTCGCTCTATAATGGCATCAGATGTGGAAGAGGCGGAACCAATATGTCCTACATCACATCACCGTAGCTCCCAACAACCATATGGCTTCAACACACCACGAGAAACATTTCCTTTTTTCCAACCCGATTCAACTGGCCAGTATTACCAATCAAAATTCGATCACCCACCACCTCCACCATAAGAAAGCTTTGACGGCATGGATAACCGACTTTTTGACAACGGGTATTCATAACAATATGGTGATCTGAAGGTTACATGGACCCTGGTCGCATTGAGGTATTACAAAGGACATCGATCCAAGCACAACATGAACCTCAAAGGGTTGCAGGTCAACGATTTAGGAGAGTGCCATCGATCCAAACACAACAGAAAACTCAGAGGATTGTGGGTCAACAATTAGAAGAGCGCCTCAGTGTGAAACTGATGACCGTTACGGCGATCCAGAACACTAAAATATATGTATTTCTTATTTTCCAAATGTAATGGTTATTTTATTTATATAGCATCTTTTTTTTGGTTAATTTTTAATAGGGGTAATAGTTATTTTGTCCTCTGTCATATGGGCGAGTTTTGGAAAAAAAACCTAGAAAAAAAAAAGTTTGGATTCGCCCCCTAACATATGAAAATTTCCCTGTTTTGTCCTCTTAAGAAATCCAATCATTCAAAAAATGACATGGCAACCATTTTTTTATTTTTGTAGACATGGATTGTCTAGTTGTCTTTTTTATCCATTATTCATTTTATGTTAAATGTCACATGACTTTTATTTTTCAAAATATTTAATTTAAGCTTGAAATTTTTAAAAGCAAAATAATTCAAAATTTTACACCTAAAGGGGATCGAACACATGTCCACTCCCTTAATTGCAAGCCCATCTACAACTAGCTCATTTTCATTGATTTAACTTCCATACTCATGCATATTATATATTATAGTTTTCCTCCGGTTTGAATCAACCTAGTTATCATATGAAATCTAGGTATTGAATATTTTGGTCAATTGGTTTCTCCTTTTGTAGAATTCATTGTTACCCTTGAAGGGGCTTTCTAGTATTATCATCAAAATCGAAATCAATTTGGTTAGGTTTAAGATATATTTGTTGTTAAAATGGCTGATTCAATTGCTGCAACTTCAATACTAGGCTATTGTCCAATTTGCGGTGAAAATTTGATTAGAAATGTATCTCAAAAGAGAAAATCTTTCAACACTTGCAGGTTCCCACTGACTGAGTTTATTGGTGGAGAGGTTGTTGTTTCACTGCCTTTGATTAAATCGAAGCAAGACCGATTCTTGTTATTTTCGTTCATTTATGGTGTTTTTGATCGAAGAAAGGTAAAGCTTGATCCTAAAATATTTGCGTATGCAACACAACTTTGAAACACCATATATGAAAGATGTATTATATTTAGAAACTCTAACAGTGGAGGTGCACTGTATTGTTGCTGCTAGCAACCATCCTTTGTATGAGCTTCAGGCTGCATACTTAAAAAAAATATTATATAATATGCAAATTGCGTGGGTAAAGTTATTAAAACAGTGAGAGGACATAAACTTGTGTTCGATCCCCTTTAAGCAAAATTTTGAATTATAAAAATAAAAAAATAGTTGCCATATTATTTATTTTTTATGATTAATTTTTTTATGAATCCAAACTTTTTTTTACAGAATCTATTTAAAACTCATCCATATGACATGAGAAAAAATAAAATCTATTTAAAACTCATCCATATGACATGAGAAAAAATAACTATTAGCTCTTTTTAGTATATTTAAAAAAAACTATAAAAAAATCGTGCACACATATGACGTGTTCTAAAATCATATATCATATGACGTGTTCACCTAATTATAACATATGTACCATGTGGGATAGCGCCAACAATATTTTATTTTTAGGTAAATATTTTAAAAAATTGAAAAAAATTCTAAATCTAGGGTGGACATAAAAAGAAAATCAATCAGGAAATCATATAGACAAAAGTCCAAAGAGAATGTGAAAGTCGGTGAATCATGTAGACAAAAGCTTAAAAATAAACCGAGTATTTCGTCAAAGATGATTTCCTAAATGAATAGCAGCAAAAAAAGGAAATGTCGTAAAAAATACAAATGGTATAACTGTAACAATGGGAATCAGTTTTGAAATTGGGTTATCTTGATTTATTTTTTTAATTGAGATTTTTTTTTTAATGGAGCGTGATAGCTCACTGCATGGGAAAGACAAATATATACTCCCTTAAACATAATACAAAACCCCATTGAAACACTTGAAGGCCTTGTATAACAAGAAAAAAGCTTGCAGACCTAAATCATGTTTACAAGTTCCCCAAAACAATCTTGTACCTTCTAATGATTATAAACTAAAATCCTAACCAACAAGGGAGGGTACCAATTTAGCACCAGATTATATGAACAAGTTAGTTACATGTTGAAGGTCTTGGTTTTGGTGGCATATAATACGAATTACCACAATCAATTGGAGTTTGCATAAGCAAATTCGATCTGTCAAATATTATGCGGCCACCTCTACCAATTCTTCCACGAAATGTATATGGTGGTTGTGCTGACACCCCATTTTTTGCGATAGAATCAGGTGGCAAAATACCTGCCACTGCCAACTTACCAGGAAGTAACGGCTTTGTGAACAATAAAACTGGTTCAAGTGGATCCTGCATAGAGGCCCATACCACAAAACTCATCAACATTCACACTGAATATGAAAATAAAATGGAAATTTTAACACACAAATCTTCTTTTCAAGACATAAAAATTAGTAAAATCTATGTGTGATTTATTTACCAGTTTATGTGGCCATCCATGTGGAACTTGTATCCTCTTTAATTCTTGCTTTGCACTGACTGTAGGAACCATGGGCAGGTTAGTGTCATAGGGATGTAAATTCTGTACAGTAGATCGTGAGCGAGGAAGAAGGCTGGTCATGACATCATCTGAATCAAAATATTCCTCTTCACTTGAAACAAGCTTGGAAGAGAAGGGAGTAAATCCAGACATTGCCAAGTTGTCTTCCAAAAATTCTGTTTCATGCTGAAATATATAATTCTACATCAGTTTGTAAGTTTAAAAATAGTTAATAATTCACTTTTTGTAAAAACACAACAAATTCTAGAGTCCACAGCATATGTGCTCGTTGGAAGGATATACTGAACCATTAAAAACTAGAGAGTAGAGATTTCTCATTACACAACTGTTTAGCACGACCCGAAACAAGAGAAAATTCAACAAAGAGCAATCTACCATTGTCTTCACTATGTTCAAGAGGTCTCAAATATCTTTGAATATGTTTTGTATACTAAAACCATTGTGAATGGCAGAAGCACGGGTCAAGACTCCACAGGAATTAACGATCATAATCAGCTCTAAGTATCAACAGGTTCAAACACAAAAAACATATGAAATGATACTTGTCAGAACGAGCCGTACATGTGTTAATTAGTGGTATATTTTATAGTTAAATAGGATTAAAATCCCATAAATAGGATTTGATTAGCTGTGTATGTATTTATAGAAATTATTGGTCCTTACTTATAGAATTGATTGAGGGCAATGATAAGTATTTATTAGGAATTTCCTTTCCTAAATATATTGTATTCTATTTAAGAGCACAGGCTGCTCTAATCAATCATAATAAACATTATCTCTGTCATGGTATCAGGGCTCCAAAATCCATAGGAGCCTGTTAAAAATTGTGGCCTGCATTGCCATTGTTTCCGCTGTGCGGCCTGCATTGCCGATTTTATTTTACGGTCTATCTTGCCATTTTTCCCAACAAAATTCAGAATGCCTGAACCAGTTAATACCCCTGCCCCAAACACCGGCTCTGTTGAGCTGAAAAATGTTCAACCTAGCCTTCGTCTCAATGGTAAAAACTACCTCAAATGGTCTCATTTTGTCCAAACCTTTTTAAAGGGGAAGGGCAAATTGAATCATCTTACTGGAAAGGATACTCCAGAAGCTACAGACAAGGATACTCCAGAAGCTACAGACGGGAAATTTGCTGCATGGGATGAAGAAGATGCTGTTGTAATATCATGGCTATGGAATTCCATGGTGCCTGAGATTAGTGATGCATGCATATTCATGAAGACTGCCAAAGAGGTGTGGGACAGCTGTAAAGAAAACTATTCCAAGGTTGGTGATGCTGCACAAATTTACGAAATTAAGATGAAGATTGCAACTACCAAGCAAGGAGATCGGTCCATTAGTGAGTATGCCCAAACTCTACAAAATCTATGGTTGGAGTTGGATCACTATGAACATTTTGAAGCAAAATGCACTGCAGATGCTACTTTACTAAAAAATTATAAGGAGAAGGATAGAATCTATAAGTTCTTAACCGGTCTGAACAATGAGTTTGATCCAATAAGGATTCAAGTACTCGGAAAAGAGTTACCCTCACTAAATGAAACCATGGCTGCCTTTCGAACAGAAGAATCACGAAGAGGAGTGATGATGGAGCCTCAATCAACTGAAAGTTCAGCCTTAGTAGCACAAAGTCGAGAGAAGAACATTGACCAATGGAAGAACGGTCAAACCGGAGGAGCTCCCAAAATGGAGATTGAAAGAGGGGATAACAAGGATTCTCTATGGTGTACCTTCTGCAAGAAGCCAAGGCACACCGAAGACAGATGCTGGAAACTTCATGGAAAACCGCCAAATCAGAACCGAAATTGGAACACCAAAGGCATTCAACGAGGAGGACCAGCACATGCTCACTTGGTCCAATCAAGTGTTGTCAAGGAAAGTCATTCCAAACCTACTGCTGATTTCAATTCAGAAGAAATTACAAGACTAAGGGAACTACTAGACTCTTTAGTCAAACCCACAAACACAGGTAGTTCTTCCATGGCATTATCAGGTAGTTCTCATCCCTATGCTCTTAGTGTTTTACAATCTACAGGAAAAGGGACATGGATTGTTGATTCTGGGGCTACGAATCACATGACCCATTCCTCTATAGAGTTTATCTCTTACACACCGTGTCCAAGTAATAAAAAGATTGTCACTGCAGATGGCACTTTTATTACTGTTGCAGGAAAGGGAGATATTCCACTAAGTCAAAATTTAATGTTGAGAGATGTCTTGCATGTGCCCAAATTATCTGCCAAACTGTTATCTATTCACAAACTTACAACAGATTTACAATGCTTGGTAACATTCACTCCTACACTTTGCAAATTTCAGGATCAGGAAACGGGGAAGATGATTGGACTTGCTAGAGAGGACAATGGGCTCTACCTTCTTATGGAAGCGCGTGAGACAAGTAGCATTAAGAGTCAACTTCCCCTGTCTTTGTTGTCAGAATCTATTCCTTCCCTCAATAAAAAAATCTGGTTGCGTCACTTCCGGTTGGGTCATCCTTCATTTAGCACTCTCAAAAATATGTTTCCCACCTTGTTTCAAGGTATAAACTTAGAAAATTTTCACTGTGATGATTGTGAACTTGCTAAACACAAACGTGTCAGCTTTCCTAATAATAATAAAAGAATGTCTACTCCTTTTTCCTTAATCCATAGTGATGTTTGGGGGCCATCCAATATCCCAAATATATCGGGGGCCCGTTGGTTTGTCATTTTTATTGATGATTGTACTAGAGTGTCATGGATGTATCTCTTAAAACAAAAAAGTGAAGTCACTCAAATATTTAAATTGTTTTTCCAAATGATAAAAACCCAATTTGAGACTACCATTAAACGGTTTCGTTCTGACAATGCCAAAGATTATTTTAATCAAACATTGTCTTCCTTTTTCACTGAACATGGTATTATTCATGAATCATCATGTGTCCACACCCCACAACAAAATGGGGTGGCTGAAAGAAAAATTGGGCATATTCTCAATGTTACCCGAGCATCTTTATTCCACGCAAATGTTCCAAAACAATATTGGGGGGAGGCTGCTCTTACTGCAGCCTACTTGATTAATCGCTTACCCTCTCAAATTCTTCAGAATAACAGCCCCATTCAGCTCCTCTCCAAATTCTACCCAAATTTCAAAACTTCAAACCACCTAGTTCCTAGGATCTTTGGGTGTGTGTCATTTGTCCATGTTCATTCTCCACATCGAGGAAAACTTGATCCCCGAGCTATTAAATGCATATTTCTTGGTTACTCGCCTACCCAAAAAGGTTACAAGTGTTATCAACCTACAACAAAAAAGAATTTTGTGTCTATTGATGTCACTTTTGTCGAAACCGAATCCTTTTTTTCCAAACCTTATCTTCAGGGGGATAAGGAATGCATCGAAGATAAGGATGATTTGTTCAAAGACCTTTCTTTTATGCCCAAGACTCCCGAGTCAAGTCCTATAACCACTTCATTACAGACTTCTAATGCTACTCGTCCACTACAAGTTTACACAAGAAGGGCAGCACCTATTATCCAACCTGTGCAAGTCCCAGAATCTGACCCAATTCTTGAAACTGTAATCAATGAGACTGTTTTAGAGGAGCAAATTGTGCCCCCTGAAACTGAAGTTGATGGGACTGATTTAGAGGAGCAGAATATATCCATGGATGCTAGAGATCTTCCAATTGCAATAAGGAAGGATGTTAGAGCATGTACAAAAAGGCCAAGGTATCCAATGTCTCACTTTATATCCTATGATAATTTGTCCAACAATCATAGAAGTTTTCTTGCTCATTTAAACACTACCGCTATCCCAAAAAATGTTACCGAAGCACTAGATAGCAAAGAGTGGAGAGAAGCTATGAAAGTTGAAATGGATGCACTTGAGAAAAATGGAACTTGGAAGTTAGTAGAGCTTCCTAATGACAAAAAACTTGTTGGCTGTAAATGGGTATTCACCCTTAAATACAAGTCCGATGGAACACTAGAAAGGTATAAAGCAAGACTAGTAGCTAAGGGGTACACACAAACATATGGGATTGACTATCATGAGACTTTCTCTCCTGTCGCAAAAATGAGCACTGTCAGAATTTTGTTATCTCTAGCAGCTAACTATGGATGGAATTTGCAGCAATTCGATGTCAAGAATGCTTTCCTACATGGCAACCTTGAAGAGGAAATTTACATGGAGGTCCCACCTGGGTTTAACTTTGAGAAAGACAAAGTTTGTAAGCTAAGGAAGGCCCTTTATGGACTGAAACAGTCCCCTAGGGCCTGGTTTGGCAAGTTTACCACTGTGATGAAAGATATGGGATATAAACAAAGTCAGGGAGATCACACTTTGTTTACTAAGCATTCAGCCTTAGGGGGAGTTACTGCAATAATTGTTTATGTGGATGATATAATTGTAACAGGAAATCATCAAGCAGAAATGGATAGCCTAAAAGTGTGTTTGCTAAAAGAGTTTGAAGTAAAAGAGTTGGGCAGATTAAAATATTTTTTGGGCCTTGAAGTGGCACACTCTCGTCACGGTATTTTCATCTCTCAACAGAAGTATGTGCTGGATTTATTATCTGAAACTGGTAAATTGGGATGCAAACCAGTAGAAACTCCAATTGAACAAAATCACAGACTTAGTGAATTTGTTGAAGATGCAACTGTGGACAGAGAATCCTATCAAAAGTTGGTTGGAAAGTTAATCTATTTATCTCACACTAGGCCAGACATAGCTTATGCAGTGGGAGTGGTGAGTCAATTCATGCATAATCCCAAAGAAAATCATCTTAGAGCTGTTTACCGAATTTTGCAATACTTGAAGGGCACTCCTGGAAAAGGAATTCTATTTACAAAGGGTCAAGGAATTACTTTGGAAGCCTATACAGATGCTGATTATGCTGGATCAGTAGATGACAGAAGATCCACATCCGGATATTGTACTTTTCTTGGAGGAAACTTGGTGACTTGGAGGAGCAAAAAACAAAACGTTGTTGCGAGGTCAAGTGCAGAAGCAGAATTTCGGGCTATGGCTTTAGGTATTTGTGAACTCCTATGGCTGAAAATAATTCTACAAGACCTAAAGATTGAATGGAATGGACCCATGAAACTATATTGTGACAACAAGTCAGCAATAAACATTGCACATAATCCAGTGCAACATGATAGAACGAAGCATGTCGAAGTAGACAGACATTTCATCAAGGAAAAATCGGATAGTGGGACAATATGTATACCATTTGTATCAACTGGAAATCAGCTGGCAGATGTTCTTACAAAAGGATTAAGTGGTTCTACATTGCAATCTATTATCGGCAAGTTGGGAATGAGTAACATCCACTCTCCAACTTGAGGGGGAGTGTCAGAACGAGTTGTACATGTGTTAATTAGTGGTATATTTTATAGTTAAATAGGATTAAAATCCCATAAATAGGATTTGATTAGCTGTGTATGTATTTATAGAAATTATTGGTCCTTACTTATAGAATTGATTGAGGGCAATGATAAGTATTTATTAGGAATTTCCTTTCCTAAATATATTGTATTCTATTTAAGAGCACAGGCTGCTCTAATCAATCATAATAAACATTATCTCTGTCAATACTCATACCTTGTACTTCATTTGCATCCTCTGTAATGTAACTTCACTCTCTATTACGTCTCTTTTTTTCTCTTCCCGCTGGTTATATGTTTGTATATCAACACAATAAGTAAGAATACAAAAGGGTAAAAATTGGGTAAAACACCCTAGACAGCTTGAAAGTCACACCTTGATCAAAGCTTCCAACAAGCTCTTGGCTTGGTCAAGGTTGCGTCTAACCTGTTCATGCAAAGAGCTTAAAATAAATTCTCAGGTAATATACATTTCATCAGAAAGATTTCAATTTGAATGGTTTTTTTCAACCATACATTTCTTTAAACAGGAGACATGAACAAGTAAAAAGTTAGATGTGCGATAAAGCAAAAAATTGAAGTCAACCGTTGGATTTGATTTTGGTTTAAATTTATTGACTGACTTATTTCAAAAATATAGTCCACTGTCTGGGTGAATTCGTAGCAATTCGTGATTTACATTCTTCATATCATATAGCAGGCACCATCTATTACATAAGCAACATTGAACTCAAAAACCATGACCTAAACACCAAGATATGTATGTTTGATACTTTCAATACTAAGTGATCTGATTTAATGTATTTACTTGCAAGCAGTCTTATTATCAGCCAAATGGAAAGATATAAAGCATGTCAGCAAAAGCAAATTTATGATATATTACACTCCATCAATGTGAATCCTTTGATTTACCATTTTCTGTCGTCTTTCAAACAATTTCCAGCACACAAGCCATTTAAGGAATTTACATAATGTGCAATGTTTATTATTCTCATTGAGTCATTGATCAAATTACAAACAGACTTCAGTTCCAGAAACTTGTTAGTTTGTTTGTGCTAGGATGACATAGTCATACTTAAACCCCAAAACTGCTAATTGTTTCCAATCAAATGATTTTTACATTATTTTTTTAACAAAAAAATGGTGCTGTTGATAGTGAACGACATAAGATACCATAAAACCAAAGATCATGACAATAATGATGTCTTTTTACTAAATTTTTGGGCGAGGAAATATTATTTACACTCAATACATACATATACAATACAGTTATAGCATGTAAAAACACAGATTTTTGTACGAAAGAAACTTGGTTAGAAATATACAAAGTATGGATCAAAATATATTTCAAGAAACTTGGTATTCCCCGTGAAAATGAACAAAGAAATAGATTTCTATCAATATTCTCAAAATTTGTACACACTCACTTACAGATAAATAACAATTCAGTGCAAGGATAAACCACAAAGTCATAAACCTTTTACCCCACGATCACACTGAACACCAGGCCCTCCAACGGGACGAGAAGCGTCAAGCCCAAATTTAACAAGCACAACCGAAGTCATAGAATCAGAACTAATTAACAGCAGCTAACCTGGCGAAGCTTTTCAAACGACTGCACATTGTTTTCTCTTCTTTGCATCTGAACAGAACAAAGAATGGGCTTACTCAACCAAAAGTACTACTTACATTTTCATAAATTGATGCTATGGAGGAAAATAGATTTTCCCAAAACCAAAGTACAACTACAACAAGAGAACTGTTTCACTTACCCTTCTTGTGTGAAGCCTGTGGGCCTTCTCCCTTGGACGAAAGACATTATATGGGTTGGTGTCGTTAACGGCTGGAGCTGGCTGCATGGATAAAATTCATTACATCTTGTCAAAGCTCTTCATAATGAGCTTGCAAAGCATACTACTCATGAAAAACAAGTAACTATAGCCAACCCAACAGAAGACAAAAATCAAATAACTCTAACTACTGTGGCTAGCAGCAAACTGCTTAAGATAAAATTCAAATAGAGGACTTCGAAAGAATAGTTTATCTATTAATGAAGAAAACTAGATTATGAATAAGAAAACAAGTAAACAAAAGAGGATAACGAATGCAGCTATAATTCTGTAGCAAAATCGGACATCATGTCATGTCTATTCATGCAGAAATAGAAATAGAAGCTAAATAAGAAAACTAAAAATCTCTAAACAAAACCGTAGAAGACCGGCTCAATTGGGTAATAGAACAGATGAATCTTATATCAAATACATAAGAACTATATAAATATTAAAGACATAATGTATAAAATCTAAGGTTTGTAAGCCAACCTGCAAACGTCGCAAAATAGGCTTTAGCCACTGTATTCGCTGCCAAAGACATGCAAATATGGGATAAGACATCAATAACTTTGGTAAAAACTGACTAATAGAAGCATACAAAAAGGAATGATCTAGATTCATAGCACAGCTTCAGTGCCTTAGATAGATCTATCATAATAAGTTACAAAGAAATAGACATAATTACATAAATCATAAGATTCAAGCTAGCTGGGTTATTGAAGAGATAGGGTGTTACTGTTATTTGAGATCAAAAGGTTCCTTTTGAACTCAAGAAAATTTTACAACAAAGCCATAGTGATGCTTTATGGCACTAAATCTTGGGTGGTAACAATAAGAGCATAAGCTGAGAATGGAAAAAATAAAAATGTCATTGTGGGTGAGCGGAAATAAAAGACAAGATTGGAAATAAATGTGAGAAGAAAAGTGGGGATAACAATTCTCCAATAGTTAAGGTAGAAGGAAGCCCGATAAAATGTCTTAGTGAAAAAATTAAAAAGAACATTATATAACACATCTAAATAGACTATTGAAAACCTTGTTTATTAAATAATACAGCAACATTTTTTATCCATGCAGCCAACAGCATCTAGTAGGAAGTGGGGAACCTATTGTTGCTGTGGTTTAATTCATTGTGGGTTAAGCATAAAATTATAAGAGGAAACACCAGTATAGACAAGTGAAAGATGGTTTAAATTAACTACAGTGTCATCCAACTTCTTAATGACACTTTATTATAATCTTCCCCTTGACTAAGCTAGTGAAGTCTGAGCCCTGGGGTATACCCAAAGAATCTTAATGCATCCCTCCACCCATTAGCATCTATATTGTCATGTGAATATTCATAAATGCCAAGTGCTGGTATCTAGATCTCAAATGAATACGATTGAAATAAATTCAGAAAGTTAAAGTGATAAACAAAGGAGGCATACCCCTCAAAAGAGGCAAATTACATACCTTTTCTTTCCAGTAATCATATACAGACTCGAGAATTGTGTATTTGACATTTAGAGATTGTAAGGTCTGAAATTTAAAGACGACAAATTTCAATAAGCTCAATAGGAATCATATCCAAAACATATGCAAGGTAATGTTTGTACTTCAAGACATATGAAATGCACTGAAACTTCAAAGACACTCCTACAGTCTCGAGAACAATAAATAATAGCCTATATAATGAACTGTTTGGAGAAAAAGAAACCAATAGTGGATTGGCATCGCCATTTAGCAAAAGACTGCACAATATTCAGTGTTTTTCATCAAGCAAAAAAACTGTAAATAGATATCCATGAATCAACAGTTAAACAACACATTAGTTCATCATTGGCAAAAAAAATGTTCAATTCTGCACTCAAACCCTTAAAAAAACTTGAATTCCGTTAGGCTAGTGTTGTGATTTTTGGTTTTAAAATCAATGTGCAACTCTCTTACAAGAAGAATCTTGTCACTTATCATGTCTGTTTTCTCAATACTACTTATCCATTACATTTAGAAGACTAAAAAATATTGAGCTAAAGTTCACTGCGCTGTGCCTCCACATAACAGCTCAAAAGAGTTCACTCTTGACAAGGCTTTAAACCATAATCAACAAGTAGTCAAGAGATAGGTAGACCATTGCCATAACCACGTTTCTTAATTCAATAAAAATTTTGCTCAAAGTATGGCAAGTCTAGCTGTTATATGACTCTTGCATGAGGGTGTGTTCCAACTGCCAATGATAAAAACCATTATTAGACAGGTTCGACGGATACTATTATGGTTTCAACTAGAGAAACCAAGCAGCAGTGCCAGCACTTTTCAAAGTATTGTCCTTCTAGGTTGAATTACATAGATTTCTTTCAAAATATCACCCTTGTAATCTCGCAAATTTGATTTGAGGTTTAATGATAAGTCAACCAAATGAGGTTCTCTGTATGCACATTTGCAAAAGAACTTTTAACAGGGTTTAATTAACACTGTTAACGACATCATCTCCATAATACTTAGAGGCCATTTTCTTATTTTATTACAACTAAGGTCCTAGCTTATACGCTAATGAATAACCCTTCAATGATTTAATTAACAATGTTAAAGCCATCATCCCCATAATACTTGGAGGTCATTGTCTTAGCATACTACAACTAGGTCTTACCTTATACACTAATAAATAATCCATCAAGAACCAGAGGTAAAGTTCTTGTTCTTAGTAACGAAGCACAAAATAGTCGGGTGATATTTCTTTTTAGAAAAATACAACAGCCAAACCAATCGACACAGAATAAAATTGTTTCATGATAGATTCTTAACACATAAAGACCCTAAAAGAGTATGACCTCCATGGCAGTTTCAAATCGTAGTAGCACAGGTATCGGCGAACCAAGAGTGGCTGTTAAAAGGCCAGCTCTTTCACGAGCTTTATGATCCAACACCTCCAACTTGAAAAGAAGACTCTCAAACCTATCCATTAAAGTAATATATATAAAAAAAAACTGGAAGAAAGAGAAAACTGATATATAATGCATAACTTATATATTGAATTTACAGGATCATATGAAAAGACTAGTAGCATACAACCAAAAACTCAAAAGAATATAATGTTGATTCAAACTATATGAAAAATCCTTGTTGAGTGGCATCACAGGATTTCAGGTCAGTCACACGTCAGGCAAGAAAACAAAGCTAAAGATGAGCCACATCATAATATAACACTTATTAAACGGCCATTTTGTTAAATTCTAAACAAACAACCATTGTGTAAGAGTAGGATTTATAGAGTTGCTTTTCATGAAAACAGTGATATTTTAATCAATAATCAAAATCCATTTATTAATAATTTCTATAGAAAAAAAACAAAGCACTGGTGGAACAGAAATGATAGTTGAATATCATTAAACTTAATAATTTATTTAATATATATTTGCCATTCATAAAAAATAAATCTAATAATTGTTGTTACTTTTTTAATGTTGTCAATATATACCCTTATTGAAAATTGTGAGATATTAAAGAGGGAGTAATTAAGGACCGGAGGGATTAATTAAAACAAACCACGATCAATAGTACTCCTAGATTTCAAGCACTCTACACACATAACTGAAAATCATTGAACAAAGTCAGAATTCAGTCTTAAAAGTTACATTTCAGGTGTCAGAATATCCCTTTCTTCATTAAACTCTGAAAGCCAATCCTCATCTTCATTGTCTAAGTCATACTCAACAAACTCTCCAATCTCGGCCCTAGCTGTAACAAAACAAAACAACTTTCAGTACACAGTGGAATTTACAAAAGAATCTTCTAAAATCATTTCATATTTAGTTCAATTATCTTATCTAGTGGAAATACCTCCTCTTGCCCGCAAATAGGAAGTTGGTTGAACGAAAGTACAAGAATAGTCCCTTTCATATGTATCCACATAAACAAACTGAGGAGTGGGTATTTCAGAGGCCAGTTTCTTGCTGGGAGCATGTGGAACATGTGCCTAAGAAAAATAAATAGTGATACTGATGAACTTAACATCGCATTTTTAATGGTATCTTTCCTATTTTCAACTTTTTACAGAGGGGGAATTTATGATCAGTTTATTAATATTTCATATAGTAAGGCTTCAGTTCTGCATAGTTTACCATGATATCATGATTATGTAAATTAAATAAATTTTGCAGATTAAGTCAATTTTGAACAAGGGTAAACACTTGAGATGGTACGCTGGCTGTCACCTTGAAACCTTGATGCTAAGTACAATCTAATACGTAGCTGACAGATTTAACCAAGCCAACATAGTTGTAGGCACCAAAATGTTACCCCCAAAACAGAACAGAATAACTGGAAAACATGGTGCAGTAACATAACATTACAAGGACCCGTACCTCATGTTCGACCTCAGGAACAATGCGTAGCAATTGGGAATTACGGGTAGAAGTGGGTGTCTCGTCGTCTTCAAAGTCCTTGAAGGACTTGAGGATGGGGAGCTTCTTGTGAATGTCAAGTGGTCGAGGTCTGAAAGACAACCTACTCATTTCTACTCATCTATTCATTCCCCTTAAATTACACAATTTTGAATCTTTTCAATGCCACCAATGTCTTCAACTGCTGTGGTTAAACCCGGATTAAATGCCTCTTGAGAAATACTATTGGAGAGACTTCCCTAAAGAAGTGATTTACCACACCATCAAATTGACAAAGCCTTTGACAGCCCCTGGTTCTGATGGCATGCCAGTTTTCTTCTACCAAAATAACTGGAAAGTGATGTCTTTACAGTGATCCTCGAGGTTTCCAACAGGGGGGCTAATACTTAGATCTGAATATTACAAAAACCAAAGTTAATAGACTAAAGCTGATTTTATCTGGTATTGTGAGCTAATACATGAGACAAAAAAGGAAAAACACTACTAGTTTTGATGGAATTAAACTAGGGTCTATCATTGAATTGAGTGGAACTTCATAAAACAATTGCTCATTTCTACAGATTTCCCTTATAATTGGAATAATCTTATTACGGAGTGTGTAAATACTATTTCTTTCTCTGTTTTATTAATTGGAAGATCTTGCCTCTACCTTTTTCCAAAAAGTGGTTTCCTTCAGGGTATTCACACCCCCCACCCCCTACCAGTTTATATTTAATGCTGAAGTTTTTTCATGTCTCGTTGTTAAGGCTCGAAGGAGGAAGGACATCCGTGGAATTAAGAATGCAAGGTAGGTATCTTTCGCTGGGACGTTAAAGAAGAAAACAGGGAACTTTCTAGTATCCCAACCCTATACCAAACAGCCTATGCTTGTGAATCAATAAACATTAGAAATGTCCTTCAGATGGCATGTACTAGAAGATAGAAAAAATCATTTCCAAAGGCGGATGAATATTAAGGCTATGGAGAATCACGGCAAGTACTTTGGCCTGCCCAACATCAACCAAATAGACTCTTAAATATGGGATAATTCTAAAAATGGTATGTACTCTGTTAAGTCTGCCTATTTCAACATCAGAGCATGGAAGAACTCAGACAAAATTCAGTGCCTCCAACAGGGTGAGGGTTTCATGGTTTTTGACCTAAATATTCAAAACTAATAATCCCCCATACATATACAAGCTATACTGAATAATAATAATAATACCATTCCAGTAAGAAATGGGAATTTCATGCTGTTTAACATGACCAAGGTCTTGTGGAAACAGTGAATCATACTTTTAGGGCTTACATTAAGGCTACTAAGTTAGGGTTAAGTTCCCCTTTTGAATACAAATTTCATCAAATCGCAAACGAAAGAGTTCGTTCATACAGTATTTGATGGATTAGTATATATATATACCTGTACCGAAATCAGTTTGAAAAGCAATGAAGATCCCTAAATAGTACTATTGCGGAATCAGAAACAAACCCTAAAACAGAAGAAAACAGAATCAGTAATCGATGAAAGTAAAAGAAGAACAGATTGTGAAAGTAAATAGGATTATGGCGTTGTTGGTGTACAGTGGGAATTGATTTGAGATCTAGATGCAGTTGTTGAAATTGTTATGGCGGCAATTTGTGGCGGAAACCTAGCAATTAGGGTTCGAATTTGGTTGTGTGTTTTTTCACGGAAATAATAATAATACGATGCGATCTATTAGGTTTTTTTCAGCTCTCACAGTAATTACTAATAATTTCTCAATTCACTAAGACTAAAGATTACATTAAGTTTATTCGAAACGCATTCATCAATTGGGGTGGTGGCGCAGTTGGCTAGCGCGTAGGTCTCATAGCTACTGAGTAATCCTGAGGTCGAGAGTTCGAGCCTCTCTCATCCCATTCAAAATATTTTGTTTTTCACTATATAACTAATCATAATATATATTTTTGTATGATTGAAACAGAAGCATCAGCCGACCTTAGCTCAGTTGGTAGAGCGGAGGACTGTAGTTGGTTTCAACAGATAATCCTTAGGTCACTGGTTCGAATCCGGTAGGTCGGAATTTTTTTTCTATCTGTTTTTCTTCATTTCTTTGCAAAAGTCAAAGCATGTTTTTGCGACGTAGTAATCAATCATTCTCGTAATTTATTTGTGTATGTGTGTTTTGATTACAATATCTTTTAGAAAGAAAACTACGCTAGATTTTAATAGTAAAATTTTGACAAAATAATATTTTATATGTTTTATCATTAGTTTAATATATAAAAAGATTGATTATTTTGCCTTAAAAAATTCAATTGAATACTACATAAATAAATAAAATAAGATTAAAAAATTGTACAAAAAATACATTAAAAAGTCATGTAGTTTTTCAATAATGTAGAATATGTGGTAACTTAAAAAAATGGATAGCCAACCTCTTAATTATCAAATAATTTTTTGAAAATGAAACTTCCTTAATTAAATTATTTGTGATGGTTGAACCAATCTCAAGATAATGTTATGAGAAATGATGGTTGGATATGGCAATGTAAGAAGAATAAAACTAGTTTCAAATTAATGAAATTTGAAATCTTATGTCACGATCAAAAGGAAAACATGTCATTAAAATCAAAAGGGTTTTTAGAAACAAACTTAATGAACTAAGAGAAGTGGTAACGAACAAAAGTAGACTAGTAGTTGTAAATTATAGTCAACAAAAAGGTATTGATTACACTAAAACTATTGCATTAGTGGCTAGAATAGTATCCTAGAATAGTCAACAAGAATTTATTGATTACACTACATTTTTTGCATTTGTAGCTAGACTATAAGCAATTAGATTGTTATTATCATTTTATGTAAACCATGATGTTTTGGACTGACCCAATGACTAGAATTAATTCAATCTACTTTTATCTCAGCATGGTCTAAATTGGCCCACTAACTCTGATCCCCTGTCGAGCACACTTGATCGACCACACCATGGGAATATCAGGGATTACGATGCCCTGGTCGTGCACCTGCCCGCATCAACGACCAATTCCAGGTATGCTCGCTACTCGTCGAGCAGATAACCAAGAAGGCGCTTGAGACGCATTTGCTTGTCATTTCACCATTGCTCGAAGCAACGGCTAGTTACGGGCATGAATACACGTTTTGACCAAGTCCTTGTAGTTACCTATTTTCGCGGACCCGAATATCTAGGCCCAAAAATAGGAACCAATGGCTACGCATCGGGGGCAGGTATCGAATATTCACACTAAAAACCCTAATCTCTTTCTTGTATCTATTTGCACTCTTTCTCACTAGATCATCGGAGTGCCTTGCAGGGACACCCCTTCCTCTGCTCGTATTTCCATCCAAGCAACGTCATCATCCTTCGGCCCACTTTTAGGTCTTAATCAACTGGTAAGACATTGGCACCGACTATAGGGATCTATCTTCACCATCTTCCTTCCCCGATGTCAGGGATGTCCGATGTAATATCCTATTTTCTACAAATTCAATTAATTTAAGATGTAGTCTATTTAGTTGGATTTGGACTTAAGGGTATTATGGTCAATATCGCTTGATTGAGGGTTAAAGTGGATATTTCTCTAAATTAAGAAAACATAGGGGTTGTTTGCCTTATCTCATTTACTCATCTGACATAAAATCATAATTTGAGAGAAATAGAAAGAGAGAAAGAATTATGGAAAGGGAAGAAAAAGAAGAAGATGAAGTTCAAGTTAACTCTCTATCTCTTGCATGCAAGTCAAGTTTAGCCATTGTCATCATCTTTGATTGTGATTTTCGCAGCTCTTCTTCATCCTCATCAAGGTGAGTCTCTTACATAGTGACTTGGGGAAATTTGGGGTTTATGACATGTTTTGGGGTTTAGGGTTTGGTGACTAGATATTGATGCATGTATGTTCTATACTATGTGTTTTACCCCAAAATTTTCCCTCCCGTTTTCTTCAAGACATTCTTCTAAGATTCTCAAAATACTCAAAGGTTCTCAAGAGTTGACTGGTCAAACCTCCACCTAAGCAAGGATCTTCAATTAGGGTTTGGTGCTTCTCAAATAATATTGGTTTGAAAAGGTATCAAATGAATTTTATGGTTCATCATAGGTCCTCAACAATGCTCATGTTAAGTTTCAAGCCTTGCATCACAAATTTGCTCAGTCAAATTGCTCAGATGATTGAAAATCAATTGTATTGGACAAAAAGTCAATTGTGGTCAATATACAGTCAAACTTCAAGATTTTTGGTCAACATAAATATTTTGAAGTGATATTCATCATTTTATCAAGGCTTGATCATGATTCTTAAAGGAAACCCCTCAAATAATCAGAGGTCAAAAATTGCCAAAATTAGGGTTTTGACTGAAGATGACAAATCATTGACTTTTGACCTAGTGCATGACCTAATGATTTAAAGCATGATCTTAAGGACTCAAATACAACATATTGACCTAATTACATGGCTCAATACATTTCCAAAGATGCAAGTGATTGATATTTGAAGAATTGAATCAACTGATGAAAAGTCAACAGTCACTCAAAAGTCAAACTTTGACTTTTTAGTCAACATTGAAATTCAAAAGTCAAGAATCGTCAAGATATTCAAAAATATCAAACTTGATCATCAAGAATCAAAAAGTCAACAAAAGTCAAATTTGGAAAATTTCCTAACACTTAGAAAAATTCTAAGTGTTTTGTTCTTAACAAAAGTCCTAAATTCATAGCCATTTTCACTAAGATCCAAGTTGATTTAAAGAAAACTTTCAACATGAAAGTTGCAGGGATTGTTGAATTCTACAACTTTGTCAATGAAGGTTAATTTCCAAAAAGTTATTGGATTAAGATATATAAGCTCATGAAGTTAGGATGTTTTTTATCCAACACTTAGAATTTCTTTTACAAGTTTTGATCAGTTTTTTTGTCCTAACGTCTTGGCCAATTTTCACTAAGTTCCCATTTGATTTATCCAAAACTCACCACATGAAAGTTGTAGACAATGTTTCAAGCTTTCCAAAATGTCAAAGAACACAATTTTATCTTGCTTGAGCTAAAAGTTTCGAAGAGATGAAGTTGGGTATCTAAGGTTGCATTAAAGGTCAGTTTGTGACAAGTTCATAACCAAATCTTTAAGCCATGTTGCATAATCCTACTTTTCAGGCCTTAAATCTCCATATCTATCCATAATCAGAATATTACACACACTTTTGAACCATGATCCAAGTGATTAAAGCTTTGTCCAATCCATTTTGCCATTTAAGGGAGAAAGGTTACATTTCCATTCTTGTAAATCAAGCTTTAATCACAAAGTCAACTTCTTGAGCTCCCAACTTGTTGCATCTGAGTACAAGCAATCTCTAAAATCAGAAGTAACCTCCATACACCTAACCAAACCATAGATTGTGCTTGTACTTGAACCTTGGAACCATAGAAACTCATCCAACTTGATTTTTCACTTTTTCAAGCCATAACTTGTTATCTTGCAAACTTGGTTACTTCAACCTCCCAAACCTCTTGCCTGTAAATAGATAGGCCATTTGTGAGCTAGCACAAGAGTTAAGAAGCCTTTAAACACTCTCTAACTCAGGATTACCAAGAAAACCCATTGTTGCACATTTGAAGCTTCCAACACCCAGCTTCAAATTCACTCATGTGTTTTCCTTTTTTATCATACAAACATCATCTATACATCATATAGAAGCCATCCATACCCCTGTTTCATCACTGTAACACCTCCACCATCATTGTCCAAACCTCACTTTACACCTCTACAACTTGACTTGTCCATAAGAATTGATGCACTCTCAATCCAAGGCAGGCATTGTAAAAGCTTTCTGGGAGTTCAGTGAAGCTATCCAGATCATCCTAACACCTTCAGAAGTGCTCTAACACCAAACTCGATTCTCACTTCAGAGGTAGGTTTTCTAAACTTTGAAATATATGTACAAGCATCATTTGCATTTATTTTCTAAAGCAAAAATGTAGATATCAATGCCCTGAAACTAACCATGTCCTTAGTTTTCATTTATGTTGATTGTGTGATGAGAATTTTGGATTTGAAGTTTCTGAGATTTTAGGGTTCAGTTTGGTACCAAGCAAAATTCATTCTAACCATTGATCTATAGCTTTTGAAAGTTATGTGATTGGATTTGTGGTTAAATTTCAAGCAAGTTTGATGTTTATATTTTTCAATTTGGTTGAGAAATGAAGATTTTACAAAATTTGAAATTGTTCTTGTTGTTGCTGTAAACATGTGCGAGGAAGAAGATGAAGTCCATTTTTGAAAACTTGTTCATTTTATATTTAATGGTTGTTGTTTTACAACCGGATGTAACATCCACCCAAGTGACAGCGCGCGTGTTTAAGTCATACATATGCTTGGTCACAGGTTCGAGCCAGGCGTGAGATGTTTTTCTTTTTCACATTTGTTTCTTGTAGATTCAATACAAACAAGCCTAACGCGCCTATCATG